AGCAAAAGTGCAAGAAGCAGATATTTCCGGTACTCTCGCCCTTTGTGCTGTTCTGAGAAAGTGGAGGAGGATCGTGGGCAGAAAGCATTTTTTCTACTGAGGCAGATAGTTTGGTGCATTTTTGTGTCTTTCTTCCGAATTCAGAGGACCTTATTCGCGGGGAAGGTTGCAGGCCATACAATGTCTACATTACGATTCACCGTCTGGAGGACGTCCCGCCCGCCTCCAAAGGTAACGGGGTTCGAATGATTTTACAATTTTGTATTTATGCAGATAATTAAATTGAATAAGGGTTCTGTGTTTACACTTGCGCGTATGCATGGCTAAGTGCGAATGTAGATCCTCGGCATGTACTTGCATGTTTGTGTGCATTGCATTGTACGTTACTGGAGAGCCTAAGTAAGCTGTGCCAATAACAGTAGTCTGGAAGCATTACTGCTGGCCGATATTTTTGTGGTGTGCGTATAGGTCTGAGGGATCCTTTTGTTGTATGCGAATTCGCTGGTTGCCGCGTACGAACGGTAAGCTTTTGGAGCTTCTGCTGTTGCTTGGCATCACTGCTGCAGAGCGAGCCAGAGTTGCGGCCACAACTACTCTTACGGGTTGTGCTGTCTGGATTGGCAGGCTCAAGCGCGAGCCACGAGCTCTTATACCTTCAACGAATGCTTCCGCATTCCAGTGCTCACTCCAGTCCCGGAAGACACCATATTGGTCAAAGTATGGGACTGGAACTTTATGACCGCGGATGAACTTTTGGCAGTGGTGAGGCATCATTGCCCTTGTACTTTTTAGCGCGAGAATGTTTGCCACTCTAAATGAGTATGCGACACATAAAGCTTGCACTGAACAGAATTTTTGGTGAATTACATGTGGCAAATACTTATAGGGCCGCATCTCGTTTTCGGAGTTGAGATCGCGTCACATTCTTCCTCGGTAAGACTAGCGGCGAACAGTTTGCGCTTGGAGTAATGATCCTGAGTGACCTGAAGCTTAAATCAGGCCCCCTTAATGCCATTCAATGACCCTTTCATGCATAAGTCAGAGACTGTGCACTGCTGGGTGTAGGTGGTTCAACTTTTACGGGTTTGATGTGGGGGAGATCCCTAACTTCAGCGAGGTCATCGCCCAAAGCGGCAAATTGATTCCTTG